GAATTCACGGAGTTCCAATCCCTGGAATCCCCAAAAAACTGAGGATTCTTCATCGGGAATGTGGGGCTGGGGGGGCTTTGGGAGTGCTGGGAATCGTCAGACCCGATAGGATTGGCAAAGGGATTTTCCAACCCAGGGGACTCCCAGATTCCATCATCGATTCCTTCATTGATTCCATCATTGATTCCATCATTGATTCCATCACTGATTCCTTCATTGATTCCATCATTGATTCCATCTTGGATTCCATCATTGATTCCATCCTTGATTCCTTTATTGATTCCATTTTTGTTTCCATCTTGGATTCCATCTTGGATTCCATCATCAATTCCTTTATTGATTCCTTCATTGATTCCAGCTTGGATTCCATCACTGATTCCATCACTGATTCCATGATTGATTTCATCGTTAATTCCATGATTGATTCCATTTTTGATTCCATCTTGGATTCCTTTATTGATTCCATGATTTATTCCATTATGGATTCCATCACTGATTCCATCATTAATTCTATGATTGATTCCATTATTTGTTCCATCATCGATTCCATTTTCAATTCCATTATTGATTCAATCACTGATTCTACTGTTGACTCCATCCTTGAGTCCAACATGGATTCCATGATTGATTCCATCGTTGATTCCATTATCAGTTCCATGATTGATTCCATTTTCAATTCCACCTTGGGTTCCATCAGTGATTCCATTATTAGTTCCATCATGGATTCCACCTTGGATTCCATCAATTCCTTCATTGATTCCAACATGGATTCCAATATTTATTCCATTATGAATTCCATCATCGATTCCACCTTGGATTCCATCGATTCCTTCACTGATTCCATCATTAATTCCATGACGGATCCCATTATTTGTTCCATTATTGGTTCCAACATGGATTCCATGATTTATTCCATTATGGATTCCATCATGGATTCCATCATTGGTTCCACCTTGGATTCCATTGATTTCTTCCTGATTCCATTATTAGTTCCATCATTGATTCCATCTTGGATTCCATCCTAGATTCCATGATTGGTTTCATTATTAGTTCCATTATTGATTCCATCATCAATTCCTTTATTTATTCCTTCATTAATTCCATCCTAGATTCCATCCTGGATTCCATTATGGATTCCATCATTGATCCTACCTTGGATTCCATTGATTCTTTCCTGATTCCATTATTAGTTCCATTATTGATTCCGTCATCGATTCCATTTTTGTTTCCATGATTGATTCCATGATTGATTCCATCTTGGATTCCTTCATTGATTCCATCATTGATTCCATGATTGATTCCATTATTAGTTCCATTATTGATTCCATCATCAATTCCTTTACTGATTCCATCACTAATTCCATCATTGATTCCATCATGGATTCCATCATTAATTCCATGATTGATTCCACCTTGGATTCCATCAATTCCTTCATTGATTCCATCATTAATTCCATCATTGATTACATGATTGATTCTATTATTGATTCCATCACAGATTCCTTCATTGATTCCATTTTCAATTCCATCTTGGATTCCTTTATCGATTCCATTATTTATTCCGTTATGGATTCCATCATTGATTCCATCATTGATTCCAACATGGATTCCATCATTGATCCCGTCTTGGATTCTTTGATTGATTCCATGATTGATTCCATCCTTGATTTCTTGATTGATTCCTTGATTGATTCCATCATTGATTCCTTGATTGATTCCTTGATTGATTCCATCCTGGATTCCATGTTTGATTTCATCTTGGATTCCATGATTGATTCCATCATTAATTCCCTCATTGATTCCCCCTTGGATTCCCCTTGGATTCCATCGCTGCGCTGGAATCACAGACAGGACGGGGGTTCCCAACCTTGGCCAATTCCAGGGAATCTTGGATCCCGGAAAAATTCCCAAATTCCCCCTGGAATTTTCCCCATTCCCGATGGGATTCAACCCCCTCGGATCGGGAACAACCGAACTCCGCGGCTTTCCCGACCCCGGCATTCCGCGATTTTTAGGAACTCTGTGGCCAATCCGAGCCTTTCCCTTCTGGAATTCCCTTGGAAAAGGCTCCATTCCCTTTCCCGGTGTTTTCCAGCCGAGACCCCGATCGAGGAGTTCACGCCCACGCCGGCGTTCCCGGCGCTGCAGTACCTGGAATCCGTGGATGTGGAAGGAGTCGCCTGGAGAGCGGGATTGCGCACGGGGGACTTCCTGATCGAGGTGAGCTCTTCCTGGGATTCCGCTTTTCCTGGGAATTCGGGGCAGTTCCCGGGAATTTCGGGGGATTTCTCAGGAATTTCAGGGGATCTCCCGGGTATTTTGGGAATTTTTCGTGAGTCTGGGGGATTTCCCAGGAATTTTGTGGATTTCCCAGGAATTTGGGGCATTTTGCAGGAATTTACCAATAATTTGGGGGATTGCTCAGGAATTTTGGGGATTTCCCAGGAATTTGGGGCATTTTGCAGGAATTTACCAATAATTTGGGGGATTGCTCAGGAATTTTGGGGATTTCCCAGGAATTTTGGGAGTTTTTTGTGAATCTGGGGGATTTCCCAGGAATTTTGTGAATTTCCCAGGAATTTGGGGCATTTCGCAGGAATTTACCAATAATTTGGGGGATTGCTCAGGAATTTTGGGGATTTCCCAGGAATTTTGGGAGATTTCTCAGGCATTTCCCAGGAATTTGGGGGGATTTACCAGGAATTTTGGGAGATTTCTCAGGCATTTCCCAGGAATTTGGGGGGATTTACCAGGAATTTGGGGGATTTCTTGCAAATCTGGGGGATTTCCAGGAATTTTTGGGATTTCCCGGGAATTTGGGGCATTTCCCAGGAATTTCCCAGGAATTTCAGGGGATTTCCCAGGATTTCGGGTGATTTTCCAGGAATTTTGCTGATTTCCCACTAATTTGGGGGATTTCCCATGAATTTCCCAGGAATTTGGGGAATTTCCCAGGAATTTTGGGGAGATTTCCCAGGAATTTGGGAGACTTCCCTCGAATGTGGGGGATTTCCCACAAATCCGGGGAATTTCACAGGAAGTTGGGGGATTTCCTAGGAATTTTGGGGAGATTTTCCAGGAATTTGAGGGATTTCCCAGGAATTCGGGAGATTTCCCAGGAATTTTCCAGGAGTTTGGGGCATTTCCCAGGAATTTTAGAGGATTTCCCAGGAATTTCTGGGAATTCTCCAGTTGTGGATCAGGAGGATCCCGACTCTTCCAGGTGATGGAACTTCCAGAGTGGGAACTTCTGGGTGTGGATCCAGAGGGATCCCAGAGTCCTCCAGGGGTGGATCCGGAGCTTCCGGGAACTCCCCAGGGTGGGATCAGGAGGATCCAGAATTTTCCAGGTGTGGATCCAGAGGATCTGGAATTCTCCAGGTGTTGGAGCTTCCAGGAATTTTGCAGGAGTTTTCAAGGCTTTTTCCAGAAGTTTTCCAGGAGTTTTCCAGGAGATTTCCAGGAGATCTCCAGGAGTTTCCCAGGTGTAGATCCAGAGGATCCAGAATTTTCCAGGTGTGGACCCAGAGGATCTGGAATTCTCCTCATGTTGGAGCTTCTAGGAGTTTTCCAGGAATTTTCCAGGAGTTTTCCAGGTGTGGATCCAGAGGGATCCGGAGTGCCCCAGGTCATGAAACTTCCAGGAGTTTCCCAGCTTGGGATCAGGAGGATCCAGAATTTTCCAGGTGTGGATCCAGAGGATCTGGAATTCTCCTCATGTTGGAGCTTCCAGGAGTTTTCCAGGTGTGGATCCAGAGGGATCCGGAATCCTCCAGGCCATGAAACTTCCAGGAGTTCTCCGGGTTGGGATCCAGAGGATCTGGAATTCTCCAGGTGTTGGAGCTTCCAGGAGTTTTCCAGGAGTTTCCCAGGAGATCTCCAGGAGATTTCCAGGAGTTTCCCAGGTGTGGATCCAGAATATCTGGAATTCTCCTGGTTGGGATCCAGAGGATCTGGAATTCTCCGGGTGTTGGAGCTTCCAGGAGTTTTCCAGGAGTTTCCCAGGTGTGGATCCAGAGAGATCCGGAATCCTCCAGGCCATGAAACTTCCAGGAGTTCTCCAGGTTGGGATCCAGAGGATCTGGAATTCTCCGGGTGTTGGAGCTTCCAGGAGTTTTCCAGGAGTTTTCCAGGAGATTTCCAGGATTTCCAGGAGTTTTCCAGGAGTTTTCCAGGAGTTTTCCAGGAGTTTTCCAGGAGATTTCCAGGAGATTTCCAGGAGTTTCTCAGATGTGGATCCAGAGGGATCCAGAGTCCCCCAGGTGTTGGAGCTTCCAGGAGATTTCCAGGAGTTTTCCAGGAGTTTTCCCGGAGTTTTCTGGGTTGGGATCAGGAGGATCCGGAGTCCTCCAGGTTTGGATCAGGAGCTTCCAGGAGTTTCCCAGGTGTGGATCCAGAGGATCTGGAATTCTCCAGGTGCGGATCTGGAGGATCTGGAATTCTCCAGGTTTGGATCTGGAGGATCTGGAATTCTCCAGGTGCGGATCCGGAGGATCCCGTTGGGAATCGCGTCACTCCCGGGGCTCTCCCGAGCTGCCCTCGGCTCCAATTCCATCCCGGAATTCCCTCAGGGAAAGCTCCAGCTGGAATTCCTCCTGGAAAATTTGGATCAGCCTCTGGATCCGCCAGAAATCGGCCAGAAATCGGGAAAATTCCTCCCAGAAGGACTCGAATCCCAAAGGATTTGGAGGATCGGATCCAGGGGGTCCCTGGCGGAGCCGGGAATTCCGGGATTTGATCTCCGAGGGCTTTTCCAATCCCAGCAATTCCCGTGGTGAACATTCCAGGAGGAAATTCCCGGTGCTGGGTTCGGGAATTGCTCAGTTTGGGATAAAATCCGACCTCTCTGGGGCTGGGATTGGGAAAATCCCGCCAGAATTCCGGAGGAAAATCCCGAATTTTCAACCTTTTGTCTCCTCCACCATCCTGGGAGGTTTTGAAATCCTGGAATTTTTTGCCGTGAGGAGCCTTGGAAGCGCTTCCATGAGAATTCCTTGAGGTGGAAATTCCCGAGATTTGGGATCCAGACGTGGCTGGAAATCCGGAAACGTTTGGGGTCGGATTTTATCATCATCCGGGATTTTTTTAATGGAAAAAAACGGGAATGACGGATCCAGGCGGGATCCCAGAATTCCCAGGGGAATTTCCCATGGGATATTCGGGAATGTCGCTCCATGGGAAAGCTTGGGAAGTTTTGGAAGTGGAGCCCAAATCCTCGGGAACGGTGAAAAAATTTGGGAATTATGGGAATACAACCTCAACAATTCCATGATTTTTTTTCGGGAATGAGGACCGATCCTGCTCAGGGCGATCCAATCCATGATCCCAAGGAACAAAATTCCAGGTTTTTTTTTTAAGGAAACGGAGCCCAAAAATCCGGGATGGGGAGGGGTGGGGACCAAAAAATTCCCCCTCTGGAATTGCGGGAATGAGGGAGAACCGAAACATTCCCGGATCCTCTTCCCGCTGGAAAAGTCAGGAAGCAAAAAATCAAAAGGATCCGAGGAAATATCGAAGGGATTTGGGAACTTTGGGAATTCGGGAGCCGGGAGGGGAAAGGAAATAAAAAAAGAGGGAAATGCTCAAAATTTGGGATATTCCGGGGAAAAAGAAAACAAAAAAAGCTGGAATGTTCTGCTCCGAATCCGGAATTTTCCGGGAAAAGTCTGGGAATGTGAAGCTTCCCGAGAGAGGAATTCCTGAAAATCCTCGTTCCCGAATTTCCGGGCTCGGAGAACTCCGGGAATGCCGCTCGGTCCCGGAATTCCGGAGGCTCGGGATGAGGGTTGGGCTCTCCCGGTTTTCCGGAGCGGAATGAGGGAAATCGAGGCAGGGATGGATTGGGAATTCCGGGGTTGAAATCCCAAGGGTTTGGTGGGAGCGTCGGAATTCCTTAAAAACCGCGGGATTGGGGTGGGAAGGAACAGGATTAGGAATTCCCAAGGATTCCCAGGGATCCCCAAGGATTCCCTGGCTGGATCCGAGTGGGAATCGGGATCCAATCCCAGGGAAAAGGGACGGGATGAGAGGGAACGGCCTCGAGCAGAGCCGGGAATGGGAAATTTGGGAAAAATCCTGGAAAAAAAATCCATGGAAAAGGTTGGGAAGGGTCAGGATGGGCTGAGCCGGGAACTGGGAATCCCCATTCCCGAGGGATTCCAAATCCATGGATCTGGGAATGCTGGGAATGCCCCTGACCTCGGGGATTCCCGGGAACGGAACCTTGGGAATTTCCCATTCCAGAGGCTCGGGAATTCCCTGGGGCCAAGGAAATTTTCCCAGGAATTCCTGGGATTTCTCCCGGATTTTTTTGGTCCATCCTGGAAGGACAAAATTCCAGAGTTCCCGCGTGGAATTCCTTCCTCACCCCAAAACATTCCAAGATTTTCCGGGAATTCCATGCCCTCATCCCGGAGGGCATTCCCGGGAATCCGGAGTTTCTGGGATGGGCTCAGGATAAACAGGGGAAAAACTCCGGGAATTTTGGGAATCGTGGAGGGAAGAGCAGAAATCCCGGAATTCTGAAACCTTCCGGCAATTCCGATTCAAATCATTTCCGGTTTGGGATCTCCTGGCTTTTGGGATGCAGCGAGGATTTTTGGGATGCGTGGATTTTTGGGATGTGTCATTTTTTTGGGATATTCCCATTTTTTGGGATGTTCCCAATTTTTGGGATGCTCCCATTTTTTGTGATGTTCCCATTTTTGGGATATTCCCAATTTTTGGGATGTTCCCGTTTTCAGGATGCACGGATTTTTGGGATATTCCCAATTTTGGATGTTCCCATTTTTGGGATCTGCTGATTTTCGGGATGCATGGATTTTTGGGATGTGCAGATTTTTTGGGATGTTCCCACTTTTAGGACATTCCCATTTTGGACATTCCCATTTTTGTACATTCCCATTTTTGGACATTCCCATTTTTCGGGACATTCCCATTTTTGGACATTCCCACTTTTAGGACATTCCCATTTTGGACATTCCCATTTTTGTACATTCCCATTTTGGACATTCCCATTTTTCGGGACATTCCCTTTTTTGGACATTCCCATTTTAGGATATTCCCATTTTTTGGACATTCCCATTTTTTGGTATTTTCCCATTTTAGGACATTTCCATTTTTGGACATTCCCATTTTTTGGGATATTCCCATTTTTCGACATTCCCATTTTTCCAGAACATTCCCATTTTGGGACATTCCCATTTTTTAGGACATTCCCATTTTGGGACATTCCCATTTTTGGGACATTCCCATTTTTGGACATTCCCATTTTTGGACATTCCCATTTTTCGGACATTCCCATTTTTGGGACATTCCCATTTTTGGACATTCCCATTTTTCCAGAACATTCCCATTTTTTGGACATTCCCATTTTGGACATTCCCATTTTTGGACATTCCCATTTTTGGGACATTCCCATTTTTGGGACATTCCCATTTTTGGGACATTCCCTTTTTTGGGACATTCCCTTTTTGGGACATTCCCATTTGGGGACATTCCCATTTTTGGTCATTCCCATTTTTCCAGAACATTCCCATTTTTCCATCTCCACACATTCCCCTTCCCAACCACCCCAAAAACCCCCCAGAAACCCCAAAAATCCCCAAAAAAACCCCGAAAAACCTCCCCCAACCCCCTCCCCTCTTTCCCGCCCTTCCCGATTCCCGCCAGGAATTCTGATCCCGGTTTTTTTCCGGGATTCCAGGTGAACGGGGTGAACGTGGTGAAGGTGGGGCACAAGCAGGTGGTGGCGCTGATCCGGCAGGGCGGGAATCGCCTCCTCATGAAAGTCGTCTCCGTCAGCCGCAAGCCCGAGGCCGAGGAAGGATCCCGCAAAAAGGGTAGGAATTCCGGGAATTCCGGGAATTCCGGGGGTTTCGGGGTTTTGGGGAGGTGGGAGAGGAAAATTCCCTGGGGGGGACGCGGTGGTTTTGGGGATTTTCTGCTTTTTTGGGATGTGTCGGTTTTTGGGATCTGATGATTTTTGGGATGTGTTGATTTTTGGGATGCGTTGCTTTTTGGGATGTGTCAGTTTTTGGGATATTCTGATTTTTGGGATGCGTTGATTTTTGGGATTCACTGATTTTTGGGATGTGCCAGGTTTTGGGATGTTCTGACTTTTGGGATTCACTGGTTTTTGGATGTGCCACTTTGGGGATTTTCTGCTTTTTTCGGATGCGTTGATTTTTGGGACGTGCCAGTTTTTGGGATGTTCCAGGTTTTGGGATGTGTTGATTTTTGGGATGTGCCAGGTTTTGGGATTTTTCCATTTTTGGGATGTTCTGATTTTTGGGATGTTCTGATTTTTGGGATGCACCAGGTTTTGGGATGTGCTGATTTTTGGGATTTTCCCATTTTTGGGATGGGTTGATTTTTGGGATTTTCTGGGTTTTGGGATGTGCCCATTTTGGGGATTTTCTGCTTTTTTGGGATGCGTTGATTTTTGGGATGTGCCGGTTTTTGGGATGTTCCAGCTTTTGGGATGTTTCTGGTTTTGGGATGTTTCTGTTTTCGGGATGTGTTGATTTTTGGGATGTGCCAATTTTGGGGGATCTTTCCATTCTTGGAATGTTTCTGGTTTGGGGATTTTCTGGATTTTGGGATGTGTTGATTTTTGGGATGTGCCAGGTTTTGGGATGTGATGGTTTTTGGGATGTTTCTGTTTTTGGGATGCGTTGATTTTTGGGAGATTCTGTTTTTGGGATGCGTTGATTTTTGGGATTTTCTGATTTTTAGGATGCACCCACTTTGGGTATTTTCTGGTTTTTTGGGATGCGTTGATTTTTGGGATGTGATGGTTTTTGGAATGTTCTGATTTTTGGGATGCGTTGATTTTTGGGATGTGCCAGGTTTTGGGATTTTTCCATTTTTGGGATGTTCTGATTTTTAGGATTCACTGATTTTTGGGATGCACCAGGTTTTGGGATGTGATGGTTTTTGGGATATTCTGATTTTTGGGATGTGCCAGGATTTGGGATGTGATGGTTTTGGGATGTTCCTGTTTTTGGGATGTGATGATTTTTGGGATTCACTGATTTTTGGGATGCGCTGATTTTTGGGATGTTCTGATTTTTGGGATGTGTTGATTTTGGGGATTTTCTGATTTTTGGGATGTGCCCATTTTGGGTATTTTCTGCTTTTTTGGGATGTGTTGATTTTTGGGATGTGCCAATTTTGGGGATGTGATGATTTTTGGGATGCGTTGATTTTTGGGATATTCTGATTTTTGGGATGTGATGATTTTTGTGATGTTCCAGGTTTTGGGATGCGTTGATTTTTGGGATGTGCCAGTTTTTGGGATGTGATGGTTTTTGGGATGTTTCTGTTTTTGGGATGTGCCAGTTTTTGGGATATTCTGATTTTTGGGATGTGCTGATTTTTGGGATTTTCTGATTTTTGGGATGTGCCCATTTTGGGGATTTTCTGCTTTTTTGGGATGCGTTGATTTTTGGGATGTTTCTATTTTTGGGATGTGTCAGTTTTAGGGATGTGCCAATTTTTGGGATTTTTCTGGTTTTGGGATTTGCCGCATTTTGGGATGTGATGGTTTTTGGGATGTTTCTGTTTTTGGGATGTGTCGGTTTTTGGGATGCGCTGATTCTTAGGATTTTCCGGTTTTGGGGATTTTTCCATTCTTGGAATGTTTCTGGTTTGGGGATTTTCTGGGTTTTGGGATGTGATGGTTTTTAGGATTTTTCTGTTTTTGGCATTTGCCATGTTTTGGGATGTTCTGATTTTTGGGATTTTCCCATTTTGGGGATTTTCCCATTTTTGGGATGCATTGTTCTCTGGGATGTGTTGATTTTAGGGATGTGTTGATTTTTGGGATGTGCCAGGTTTTGGGATTTTTCCATTTCTGGGATGTTCTGATTTTAGGATGCACTGATTTTTGGGATGTGCCAGGTTTTGGGATGTGATGGTTTTTGGGATGTTTCTGTTTTTGGGATGCGTTGATTTTTGGGATGCGCCAGGTTTTGGAATGTGATGGTTTTTGGGATATTCTGATTTTTGGGATGTGCCAGGATTTGGGATGTGTTGGTTTTTGGGATGTTTCTGTTTTTGGGATGTGCCAGTTTTTGGGATATTCTGATTTTTGGGATGTGCTGATTTTTGGGATTTTC